TAAACCCTTCAACCAGTCTTAGTACAGCATGCATAACTAAAACAGTTATAGTCTGGTCAATTTTTGATCAGCTGGCATTATTGGTTATTGACATTTTCCACTCTTTAAAATCTGTATTGGTGAATTTTTGACCAAATTAAATCAAATCTGAATTCTAAAAACTGATATCAGTGACAAAAATATCATATGAGTCAGGCCCTAATTATAATTACCCTCTTTATTCACGTCCCAGACCAGCACTGTTTAACTGAAATGAATAGAGTCTGGTTCATTTTTGGTTATTATTGAAATGTTTAGCTCTTTGAAATTAGCCCTAATTATAATTTACCCCCTTAACCAGCCTTAGACCAGCATGTGTAACTAAAACTATAGAAATTTTTGACCATATAAAATTAAATCTGAATTTTTAACTCCTTAAAATGGAACCATCAGTGACCTCCTCCTTAACCAGTCTCGGTCCTGCACTGTTTAATTAAAATTATTAATGTCTGGTTAATTTTTGGCCAATTTTTGAATTTTTAGCTCCTTCAAATAATTGGTATCATGGCAAAATGATCATATTGATTAGGCCCCATTTGTAATTATCCCACATCATCAGTCTCAGACAAGCATGCATATCTGAAATGACTGGAATCTGGTTCATTTTCGGCCATATAAAATTGAATCAGCTGATATTATCAGCTATTGAAGTTTTTTGCTCTCTAAAATCTGAATCCACAGGGCCGGAATTATAATTAAACCCCGAGAATGAGTCTCAGAGCAGAGCTCAGAGCCAACACCAGGACAAAAGGACCATCCCCACAGTGTCCCAGGTGCTGGAACGTCCACCAGTGTCCGCAGGCTGTCAATACTGATTAGTCCGGTGCTGCAAAGGCCACCATGTGCAGGCTTTGGTGCTGCAGGGCTGGCCAGCCTCCCAGTTTGAGTCTCCTCAGGCCTAACGCACTACAGCACCACCCTGGCTCTGATAGCCATCCTCTATCATTTACCATTCATCATTATCATTTAAATGAATATTTATCTGCACACAGCAAAATGTGTATGCTTTTATTATGCCTAATTTTTGTGAAATGAAATGTCATCTAGTTACCCTATTTTTTGGCACTTTTATGACCATCTGCAGGTTATTTTAACTTTAGAATATCTAAAATGCATTTATGAATATCTAAAATATGCAATGCTATCTACATATGTGAATTTTTAATACCAAGTCATGGAAAAAAATTTAAAAAATGAAAAAATGATGATTTTCATTCTCTTCTGTGCATAAAAAGTGGGCTTTTAATAATAATCGATACACAAAAGAGCTTACAAATCAAGACAAAAGAGCCAAACTTCCTGCAAATGGCTTAAATTACTATAACGAGAAGATAAATTGGAGGTTGTGAAGCATCTGATTAGTTTTTCCCCCTTAATACAAGCCTGGAAAAGCTCACTGGGGGGGCTTCGCCTCTCTGTCTGGGTCATAAAACAGTCACACCCAGTTAAAGCGAGCTCCACATATGTAAGTGGTGCGCAGTCTTCCTTCAGAAACAATGCCAGTCTCTTGTTTTTTGTTAAGTTATGCTCACTGATTGTGGAATTAAACAGCATTTAGCACTTTTTCTGCTCATTAGGCTCCAATAAATGAACGATGTTAGGCCGCCAGCCTGTAAAACAGCTGCCCTGTTGGTCTGATGTGGCTGTTAAGCTTCTATACTCATCATCGATTAAGAGAAAATGGAATATAATCCAGTATAACTGAGTCAGTCTGGTAACCAGACGTCAGGCAGGATCTGTTTGCCACCCAGAGCCATTAAAGGCCGTTGAAGCCACACAATGACAATCACACATTCTTACACATTAAAGCCGAATCTGGTGCAAAATGTCCCCCTGTTTAAACAGGACTGGACAAATTGGGTCTAAAACGGGCCATGTGTACACAAAGGCTATAATTTTTGTGCATCCTTCTGCCCAGGCTGGTATGCCGGGGGTCTTGGGTGGGGTCTGTCTGCATTATGCTGTGTGTGGAGGCAGCAGTCAGCAGCTGCGCCACAGCAAATGCTCTTTTTGGGCACTTAAATCTTTAAAAATACCCTTTTCTACAATTATTATACACATTTTGCATTGTTTAATTTTACAAACAGGCTACTGCAGCTTCGCTGAAACAATGCAACTCTTTTAATCCTAAGAAATAAACGCACAGAACGGGACTGGCATGATAGACAAGGTTAAAATTCATTTTAAAAATAATGCTATGGGCATGCATTATGATTAAAAATGCTCTGTGGCAGCGGTTTAGTCATCCACCCTCCCAAAATCAGACACCTGCGTCACTGCTGGAGGAAACGGGGTGATGTAGAAGCAATGAGGGGCACTCACCGGTGGCGATTTTGTCCATGGTGGCTGTAATTGTTCTAATTTTAATTTCTAGTTTTAATGTCTAATAAGGCACTGGATGAGCGGAGCACAATGCGAGCCGGCAGAGAGAGCGAGGAATGAAAGGATGGGAGAGGATGGGATATGTAGGGGGGAGAGAGAGAGAGAGAGAGAGAGAGAGAGAAAGAGAGCGAGAAAGACGCTGCCGTGCGCTCCGATTGGCTAGCGGCGTCCCAAAAGCTGCGCCACGATTGGCTACCACCCGCAGCAGGCGGGACATTCCCGAAAACGGGTGGGGTTTTGTACCGAATGGGTGGGAAAAGAAAAAAACGCCGCTCTTGTGATGCTCTGCTTACGCAGCCCACACAGCTCGCAGCAGATTGGCGAGAGAATAGCCGTTGCCATGGATATATGTAAATCAGGACGCCGAGCAGCGACGATGGATGACGAAGCGGAGCCACACCCGTGAACCGAGTGGCCTCTAATTTCCCCAAATGTATTTAATTTGCTTCAATCACTGAGAAAATATAGATATATAGAGCTGTATATTTGCTCATGTTTATGAAAGGTATGTGCGAAATTAGCGCTAATATGCACTTTTAATGTTTAACGTACATGTTTACATGTATATTAAAATGTATGTACACATATAACACATTTGACTGGGGCTCTAAAGTGCAGGTCGATACAAAGAACCACATAGGAGCAGGTACTATTTGGGTGGTGGGTCATTCTTAGCACTGCAGTAACACTGATGTGGTGGTGGTGTGTTAGTGTGTGTTGTGCTGGTCTGAGTGGATCAGACACAGCAGTGCTGCTGGAGTTTTTAAACACCTCAGTGTCACTGCTGGACTGAGAATAGTCCACCAACCAAAAATATCCAGCCAACAGCGTCCTGTGGGCAGCGTCCTGTGACCACTGATGAAGGACTAGAGGATGACCAACACAAACTGTGCAGCAGCAGATGAGCTATTGTCTCTGACTTTACAGCTACAAGGTGGACCGACAAGGTAAGAGTGTCTAATAGAGTGGACAGTGAGTGGACACAGTGTTTAAAAACTCCAGCAGCACTGCTGTGTCTGATCCACTCGTACCAGCGCAACACACACTAACACACCATCACCACGTCAGTGTTACTGCAGTGCTGAGAATGATCCACCACCCAAATAGTACCTGCTCTGAAAAGTGAAACTATATGGTCAGTGGAGCTGATAAAATGGACAATGAGCATAGAAACAAGGAGGTGGTTTTGATGTTATGGCTGCTCCGTGTAGATAAGCGGCAGGATATGTAATAAAGTTATATAGACAACAGCAACAAAAATAAAAAACCAAATAAATGGATTTTTAGATTAACCCAAATACAGATATAAATAGAATATACATATAAAAACCTGCCTTTTCCCTTAAGCTTCAATACATGGCCAAGCTTTATCTGTAAACACTCTGCTGTAATGAGAATAAACTGGGTGGGAAAACAATAAACACCTTGTGAGGACTTTAACTCTGGAACACGTGAATCACAAGCACAAAGGACGATATGCAGATGAGTCATTTTAAGCTGAATGGCAGTTTGTGTCAGCTATGAAAGAGCGTTTACAATCAGTTATTATGTATATGTGAGACGGTAAAGCATCTATAACGGCTGTAAAAAGTCACAAAGGCCACAAGTTAACAGGAACAGACAGCAGAGAGGACGACCGTCACTGAACACGGCCTCGAATGTCACTACAGAACCGAATCAGCACTTCTGCAAACCAGACTGCACCACAAACTCTACAGGGTTTCACCAAGCTGGAGTTTACAGCACGACTGCTGTTCTAAAGCTGCTTATATAATGTGCATATAAAGAATGTGCCTGTAAAATGTGCATGTAAAGTGTGTGTAAAAAGAGTGCATTTACAAAGAGTGCATGTAAAAGTGCATATAAAGAGTGCATGTAAAAAATCCATGTAAAAAAGTGCATGTAAAAGACTGCACGTAAAAAGTGTGCATGTAAAAAGAGTGCATGTAAAAAAAAAAGCACATGTAATCAAAATACTTGTAAAAAAGAATGCATAACAAGCATGTAAAAAGTGAAAAACAAATTGTTGAAAAAAAAACATTCAAAAACTCGAGAAAATATTGCACGTTACCAAGTGAAAGAAGTGCATTTAAAAAGTGCATATAACAAAGTGAAAAGGCAAAATAAAATAAAATTAAAAAATCTAATGCATATAAAAGAGATGCCTGTAAAAAACTACGGGAAAAGCATCCAAAGAAGGTGCACATGAAAGTATATGCAAAAAAGTGAGTCATTAAGAAACTGCATTTAAAAGTTACTGTAAAAAAGTAAATGCATATTTATTTTCATACTGTATTCAGCTGTGAAGAGGGAACTGAAGGAGCCCAGTTTGGTTTCCCTTTTATGTCGTACAGTTTATGGATATTTAGCAGTATCGTTCACTCCCCAGTCCATACATGCAAAAAACAAAAACAGCTTTTTTTTTTTCAGTTTTTGTGATGTCACACAATCACATTTGCATGAATCTGCTCATTCAGCCTACAGCAGTTTAGCCCCGCCCATTCAGCCCACAGCAGTTTAGCCCCGCCCATTCATACTGAATAAATGAAACATATTTAGTGCATTTTGTTTTTTTATTGTATCTCAAACACTAATACAATAAAATACCAAGTATATTATCACCATCCATATATTTAATAGTTGTGAATTAAAGCCATTTTATGAAACAATCCTTTGAATGCATTTCTAATCAATAACATACAACCTTCAATGTAGGTAATTTCAATATTACAGATATTATCAGTGTTGTAGGTGAAGGATTTATCTTAAATCATGGTCATAGCAGCTGAAAAAGAATAAAGAATATATGAGGAAGCTAAACAAATTCAATAGAAACAAAACTAGGGGCAATTTGAGCTACAGTTTTTGGGACATTATTATTATTATTATTATTATTATTATTATTATCATTATCATTATTAGTTTATTAGTCGTATGATAGAAAATGTGTATTTACTGACAACAGAATATCTGGTATAAAACTGAAGTGGCTGGCAAAACATTTGTATATAAACTTTCATTTGTAACATATAAACGACTGTATATATTATGCAGTTAAAATTACAATAAAAAAACACCGGACACTTTATGTCTTTGCATTTTTTTCAACCGGACCAACCTCAGAGTTTGAGACCTGATCTAGACTCTAGACAGTAAATGTACAACTGCTGGTGACATTTTAACTTTAACTACAGAGTTTTAGTGCATAGTGAACAGAACCTTTGGACGTCTTCATCCCTGTAATAATAATAATAATACAGATTTTATAACTTAACAGTTAATGAAACCGAACATATTATAGATTTTATAATATTACTTTTTTAAAATAGGGTCAAACAAATAAAAAAAGTGTAAAACAAATAATAATAAACTACATTCAAGTGCTTGTGTATGCCGTGTTCGGGTGAGGAGGCTAATCTGAGGTTACAGCGTAAATTCTAAACATAAGATGAACTTAAAATGAAACTAAATCGACCTACACCGGAGGCTTTGGTGTGACTTACATTCCACAGCCCTACAGTAAAAGAGGTTGTTTATTTTTTCTTGGAGGCGTTGAGATTCTTTTTGATGTAATGGCCCACGAGGATCTGGGGACGCTGCTGGTAGCTGTGCAGGATGTCGTGAGAGCTGGTCAGCTGATCTCCTTTCTGACGGTCCAGCAGAGTCACACAGACCACAGCGGCTGGAACACAAACACAGCAAACTGTAAATAAAGAGGAAACCGCCTCTACAGGCTCAGACTGGATGTGTGATTTGGACAAAATAGCGGATTGTGATTGTGTGATTCTATTCCTACATGCTGTGATGATGATACGCCCTCGAATATATTATAGAGACCAATAATCTGACTGTTTAAGACCGGCTGCATTACTTTAACCTTGATATCCTTTTTTTTTTTTAGATCATATGAGTACAAGAGATGCACCGAAATTTTGGCCACTGAAAGTGGTGAAAAAATGGCGCCGTTTTTGGCCGAAACACAAAAATGTCTGGAAAAATATACATATTATATATAGTATTGTACAAAAGTACCGATTAATACTGTGGAAAAGTACCTAAATCACCATATATCATTTGAATAAATGCAAATGAACAGTAAAAAGTAATGCACTGAAATTAAAATTCTTGACCGAAACCAAAAGAAAAGTTATAAATATATAATTAGCTGTTTTATATATGGTTGAAGACTGAAAGAACAGCAAAATGCAGCCTCTTCATTAACATTTAAAGTATGTTCAGGTTTTATATATATATATATATAAAAGTATGGTTCCTCAAAGGTTCTTTAGTAAAGAAAATGGTTATTTATAGAACCATGAACACTCAAAGAACCCTCCGCATGATTAAAGAGTTCTTTGCATCGTTAAATGGTTCTTCACATTGATGGAGAGTGTGCTGTAGGTGGTTTTTCAAAAAAGCGTTCTTCTATTGTTCAAGCTTGTATACAACAGAAGAACCCTTTTCAAAAATCTACTGCACATTCTCCATCAATCTGAAGATTTTTTAGCACCAAAAAAGGTTCTTCTACTGTTACAAACTTGACACTGAAACAATAGAAGAACCCTTTTGGTGCTATATAGAACCCTTTTCAAAACAGTTCTATATAGAACCATCTACAGAACATTCTACATCAGTCTGAAAAACCCCTTCACTGTGCAAAGGATTCTCTTAGTGTTCATGTTCTATATATGGTTCTATATAGCACCAAAATAGTTCTTCTATTGTTTTGATGTCTAGCTTGTAATGTTGAAACAGTAGAAGAACCCTTTTTGGTGCTATATAGAACCCTTTTCAAAACGGTTCTATAGAGAACCATCTACAGCACATTCTTCATAAACCTGAAGAACCCTTTCACGATGCAAAGAACCCTTCAATCATGCAAAGGGTTCTTAGAGTGTCCATGGTTCTATATAGAATCATTTTCTTTACTAAAGAGCCATTATTTTGAAGTGTACTCCACAGATCTTCAGACTGCAAAGCAAGTCAAAAAAGTTCTTTCTGTTTAGATGCTTGTGGAACATCAGAACCCTATCAGAGCTTCAGTTTAACAAGAGATCGGACGTTTATTTTAGATTCAGTATTTCTACTATTCAGATCTCTGACACTGTCTGTGTTTACATGCAGAGATTTTCTCCAATCTGATTGAATAAATTCATATTACAGATTAAGACTGAGGTGTTTATTCTCACTCTACTCAACAATCTGATGAAAATCTTCACTTCCATGCTCACTACAAGTAATCCGATCCAAAATGACGTGCATGCATAGAGAACCACTTAGTGTAGACTTTACCATGACAACCAGCATCACGTGAGTCCAGTCAGAGTGAGATGAGCAGCAGTGAGCAGCGCTTGTGTTTTTAATCACTTTAAAATGATGTCAGACTCAGGAAAACGTCCTTCACATGTCCTTATTAAAGAAGGCCGAGAGGAAGACGTCGTGTTCTGAGACACATAAGCTGGACGTCCGTCCCACCGCCGTCTTTTAAAGATCAGAGCAGAAACTTCGTCTCCTCTGCAGACCAGTTTCTGCTCCGCCTTGTTGAACGGTATAAACTTTCACTATGACGTGACGAACATGATCAGAACGGACTTAAACTTTCTGATAGGGAATGTAATCAGATACAGGCGTTTACACGGATATTATTCTTCTATTTAACGGATTATTTACAGGATTACCCACCTCGATCAGTCGGATAGAGACTGTATTCAGAAAGACCTCAATCAGACTAGACTATTCTACTGAGGTGTATACCTGGACACATTCTATTCCGATTGAGCTATTAGTTGGATTATTAACAGATTATTAGGCTGCATGTAAACGTAGCTACTGTGATCTCCTAATGAATTAATCATACATGTGTGCAGCTGTCTCAGTCAGACCCTTTAGTACCTCGCAGGTTACTGAGTTTGCACATAGCAGCAAAAACAGAGGACTCCATCTCGATGTTGCGGACTCCGGCAGCGTACGCCTCCGCCAGGTAGTTCTGCTTATCCTCTTCAGTGTAGGAACAGAACGCTCCGTCCAGGCGAGCCTGACCTGCAATGACAACAGCCTTTTTACAGCTTTATACTCATAGCCAGTATAATTCCTTAAAACACTGAAAATAAATTAAATGGGAATTCTGCCAATTTTTCAAAATTCCTGCATAATTAAACGGTTAAGATGTAAACAGAGAGGTTCAGAGTCGTTCAGAGCGGTTTGGTGTCTAGAGAAACTTATCGAGTCAGAACTGTTCACAGTGGTGGTGATAGGAACCAGGCGTCCACCTCTAAAAGCTCCCTCACAGAAAGTTCCTACATGAAATGGTTATGAATTCACTGCCTGATGACTGAGACACTGTTTTATGATAGTTTAGAGAACTCCATTCATGGTGGAGGGATACATGTAGGGCGCTGTGAGGCAAAATGGTCCCCAAAGAAACTTATTATTTCAGATTTTCCACTATTTTCCATCATCAACATTCCATATAAACTCAGAAGACTCGTGTAGGTTCACTGGTGGTTCTGGATAGTAAATAAAATGTCTATATTTGTGTTGTAGTCATGGCGACCCCTGGTTCCTATCACCACCACTGTAAAGACATCTGAACCATTTCACACCAAACCACTCTGAATCTCTCTGATTACATCTCAGTGAATAAATTAAAAAATAAAAAAAATTTTTTTAGCCTGACAACTTTAAAACTGGTATCGGTATCAGTCACAATAATGTTCATATCGGCCAGGCCCTACAATTTAGGAATCAAAAAAAGGTAAATTCATTTAACTTTTAAAAAATAATGCGTCAGTTTAAAATAATGATGTCAATGAGTTTTCAGCATCAACGTCATTGATTATGTCGACTAATCGCAGCAGCCCTATGCAGTTCACCCAGTTGGTGGTTGTTACTGTTAACAGACTCTATAATTGGCCTAAATCTGTCTTGTTTTTGATCCATGCAGGTGCTGAGTGTTCTAGACTAGTGATCATACCCATCATATACTCATGTATATACTCAAAAGAGTATCGTGACCGAATTTATCACAATAACAATAACATATCGTCATATCGCTCAGCCCTCTGGCTCATTTTATCAGACCTACAGTAATATGATCCATAAGTGAGAATATTAATAATAATGATACCTTCGTAGAAGTCCATTGTGCACATGGTGTTCCCGATGACCGTCTCGAACTCCGCGAGCTCTTTTCCACACTGCAGCAGCTCCTCCGCTAAATCTTCATCCAGGTCAGTGCTCCTCACCACCGGCTTACCCAGAACCACCTGCTCAAAGCGGGGCAGGAACGTGGCGTCCACCGACTGCTTAGTGACCACGACGGTGCCCGGCTGCAAACCTGAGGAAGCACAGATAACACATTCACACAGAGCGCTCTATTTGCATAAATTTAACGGATCAGTTGTTCTGGTCCCGAAGCTCTGCAGCAGAATCCCATCAATAACGCACACACATCCTGACGGGGAGGAGCGTCAGCAGCCTGCGCTATACTGAACACATCACTGTATTACTGCGGTGTTATTAAAGGGCCCAGATCATATTTACTTTTCTTACATATTTCTTTTCTTGTCTTCTCTGAATAAAACATATATTATAAATATGAATAAAGCATATATCATCACCGACATGACAAACCATTCATCATGAAACTTTAACACAGTGTAAAGAGGCTAAACTGCTGTAGACTGAATGGGCGGAGCTAAACAGCTGTAGACTGAATGGGCGGAGCTAAACTGCTGTAGGATGAATGGGTGGGGCTAAACAGCTGTAGGCTGAATGGGTGGGGCTAAACTGCTGTAGACTGAATGGGTGGGGCTAAACTGCTGTAGCTGAATGGTGGGGCTAAACTGCTGTAGCTGATTGGTGGAGCTAAACTGCTGTAGCTGAATGGTGGGGCTAAACTGCTGTAGGATGAATGGGCGGGGCTAAACTGCTGTAGCTGAATGGTGGAGCTAAACTGCTGTAGCTGAATGGCGGGGCTAAACTGCTGTAGCTGCATGGTGTGGCTAAACTGCTGTAGCTGAATGGGCGGAGCTGAACAGCTGTAGGCTGAATGGGTGGGGCTAAACTGCTGTAGGCTGAATGGGTGGGGCTAAACTGCTCTAGGCTGAATGGGTGGGGCTAAACTGCTGTAGCTGAATGGTGGAGCTAAACTGCTGTAGCTGAATGGGTGGAGCTAAACTGCTGTAGCTGAATGGGTGGAGCTAAACTGCTGTAGGATGAATGGGTGGGGCTAAACTGCTGTAGGCTGAATGGGTGGGGCTAAACTGCTGTAGGCTGAATGGGTGGGGCTAAACTGCTGTAGGATGAATGGGTGGGGCTAAACTGCTCTAGGCTGAATGGGTGGGGCTAAACTGCTGTAGGCTGAATGGTGGAGCTAAACTGCTGTAGCTGAATGGTGGAGCTAAACTGCTGTAGCTGAATGGTGGAGATAAACTGCTGTAGCTGAATGGTGGAGCTAAACTGCTGTAGCTGAATGGTGGAGATAAACTGCTGTAGCTGAATGGTGGAGATAAACTGCTGTAGCTGAATGGTGGAGATAAACTGCTCTAGGCTGAATGGGTGGGGCTAAACTGCTGTAGACTGAATGGGTGGGGCTAAACTGCTCTAGGCTGAATGGGTGGGGCTAAACTGCTGTAGCTGAATGGTGGGGCTAAACTGCTGTAGACTGAATGGTGGGGCTAAACTGCTGTAGACTGAATGGTGGGGCTAAACTGCTGTAGACTGAATGGTGGAGCTAAACTGCTGTAGGATGAATGGGTGGGGCTAAACTGCTCTAGGCTGAATGGGTGGGGCTAAACTGCTGTAGGATGAATGGGTGGGGCTAAACTGCTGTAGGATGAATGGGTGCGGCTAAACTGCTCTAGGCTGAATGGGTGGGGCTAAACTGCTGTAGGCTGAATGGTGGAGCTAAACTGCTGTAGCTGAATGGTGGAGATAAACTGCTGTAGCTGAATGGTGGAGATAAACTGCTATAGGCTGAATGGTGGAGCTAAACTGCTGTAGCTGAATGGTGGAGATAAACTGCTGTAGCTGAATGGTGGAGATAAACTGCTGTAGCTGAATGGTGGAGATAAACTGCTGTAGCTGAATGGTGGAGATAAACTGCTGTAGACTGAATGGTGGGGCTAAACTGCTCTAGGCTGAATGGGTGGGGCTAAACTGCTGTAGACTGAATGGGTGGGGCTAAACTGCTCTAGGCTGAATGGGTGGGGCTAAACTGCTGTAGCTGAATGGTGGGGCTAAACTGCTGTAGACTGAATGGTGGAGCTAAACTGCTGTAGCTGAATGGTGGGGCTAAACTGCTGTAGACTGAATGGTGGAGCTAAACTGCTGTAGCTGAATGGTGGAGCTAAACTGCTGTAGCTGAATGGTGGAGCTAAACTGCTGTAGCTGAATGGTGGAGCTAAACTGCTGTAGCTGAATGGTGGAGATAAACTGCTGTAGACTGAATGGTGGGGCTAAACTGCTGTAGACTGAATGGTGGGGCTAAACTGCTGTAGACTGAATGGTGGGGCTAAACTGCTGTAGACTGAAAGGTGGAGCTAAACTGCTGTAGACTGAATGGTGGGGCTAAACTGCTGTAGACTGAATGGTGGGGCTAAACTGCTGTAGACTGAATGGTGGGGCTAAACTGCTGTAGCTGAATGGTGGGGCTAAACTGCTGTAGCTGAATGGTGGAGCTAAACTGCTGTAGACTGAATGGTGGGGCTAAACTGCTGTAGACTGAATGGGTGGGGCTAAACTGCTGTAGACTGAATGGTGGGGCTAAACTGCTGTAGGCTGAATGGGCGGGGCTACCCTAAATAGGTGGATATGTGTAACTGTGACATCACAAAAGCACTAAATTCAAACCAGACTGTTTTTACTGGTGGAGATAAACTGGTGGAGATAAACTGCTGTAGCTGAATGGTGGAGATAAACTGCTGTAGACTGAATGGTGGGGCTAAACTGCTCTAGGCTGAATGGGTGGGGCTAAACTGCTGTAGACTGAATGGGTGGGGCTAAACTGCTCTAGGCTGAATGGGTGGGGCTAAACTGCTGTAGCTGAATGGTGGGGCTAAACTGCTGTAGACTGAATGGTGGAGCTAAACTGCTGTAGCTGAATGGTGGGGCTAAACTGCTGTAGACTGAATGGTGGAGCTAAACTGCTGTAGCTGAATGGTGGAGCTAAACTGCTGTAGCTGAATGGTGGAGCTAAACTGCTGTAGCTGAATGGTGGAGCTAAACTGCTGTAGCTGAATGGTGGAGATAAACTGCTGTAGACTGAATGGTGGGGCTAAACTGCTGTAGACTGAATGGTGGGGCTAAACTGCTGTAGACTGAATGGTGGGGCTAAACTGCTGTAGACTGAAAGGTGGAGCTAAACTGCTGTAGACTGAATGGTGGGGCTAAACTGCTGTAGCTGAATGGTGGGGCTAAACTGCTGTAGCTGAATGGTGGAGCTAAACTGCTGTAGACTGAATGGTGGGGCTAAACTGCTGTAGACTGAATGGGTGGGGCTAAACTGCTGTAGACTGAATGGTGGGGCTAAACTGCTGTAGGCTGAATGGGCGGGGCTACCCTAAATAGGTGGATATGTGTAACTGTGACATCACAAAAGCACTAAATTCAAACCAGACTGTTTTTACAGTTTCTAGTTTCTATACATACATGTATGCACTGGGTAATGAATGGAAAAGTATGCAATTTCAAGAATGTTTACATACTATAACTCCATAATAACTTTCCATAATACGAGTCCTTTAAAATATACTGAAAATGTTCAAAAGCGCTAATACACACTGAAATGTCACCACAATACTATACTGATAGATTTTGTGACAGTATTTCTGTACTTTTTCTACTATCAACACATAATCATACATAATCATGCATGCATTACTGGAATTATTAAAATGTGAAGCAGTGTGATCATCACTGGGTTTTATACAGCAGTAAGTCAGTAAACCTGATAAGCCGATAACAACTGTATGTTAATGCTTAGTTAAGAGAGTGTTAGAGGTGTGAAAGTGTACCTAGTCCACCCGAGGTCCCGATGCGCACTACAGTGACGTCGGTGCAGCGCGCGTGGTACAGGAGCTTGATGAGCTCGTGTAACATTATAGAGATTGAGGGGATGCCCATGCCATGCTAAAACACACAGACACATTCACACAGCATTAAACACAACAATGCAGAACATTCAGCGTTACAGTGACCATGCGACTGTACTCATTCTGATTATAGATTATGACTGAGGAGTTTATACACACTCTACTCAACACTCTGATGAAAATCTCTGTTTACATGCTCACTGCAAGTAATCAGATCCAGAATTATGTTCATGCATAGAGTAACACTAAGGCCCCGTCCCATTTCACCCCTCGCCCCTACCACTCAGCCCTACCCCTCTGTTTTGCATGTTGTTGTCTAGGTGCAGGGTGTCCTGATTCTTGTTGAGATAGAGGGGTGAAGTGTTGGGGCTACATGACCCTCCAAATAGAGGATTTTCTGTACCATTTAAGGTGGAACAGGAAATTTAGCTACTGAGACATCAGCACTACTAGTGATTTATGTTTGTTATGCCATTTAAGGTGGAACGAGAAAATTCAAACAATAATCTGGAGAATATCTGACTTCAGCTTCGTATCACTGAAGAATTAGGGGTGGGTGATAATAAATAATTGCCCCCTCTTTGAAGATCATATGATGCCCTAAATGTAACTAAAGCCCAGCAGTGAGGAGCTCAACTTTACCCTCCTCTGCTGTCACTGCAGACTGGCAGGGTTGCCTACAGAGCAGCGCTGGTAGCTGTTAATGAAGTGATGCTCTTTTTATTTGAGGGTCCCATTTCAGAGGGAAGATTTCAACCACTACCCTGTAACTCAGTTCTAAGGGGCAACACTCGAAAACAAGGGGTAGCAGTAAAAATAAGAAACGGGACTGGGCCTAAGTGTAGGCATTATTAATTCTTATAATTTCTGCCGTGGTCTACAGAGCGCAGCATTAAGCAGAACGTTCCATCTAGTTTAGTGGAGCCGTGGATGCCAAATTACTCATTATTGAATTTCTCAGCATTACACAACAAAATGAAAGAGTTCAGAGCGCCGCCCTGCCTTTCTCCACCATAAATAAACAATCCACACTGCTGAAGTTTGCGGTCACTATCCCAACATTTGCGTGGCTTCATGCCGTCATTGGCTGCGTAACACTGTGACGTGCAGAATGATGGTGTTTCAACAAACGCAGCATATATATATATATATATATATATATATACACTGATCAGGCATAACATTCTAACCACCTCCTTGTTTCTGTGCTCATTGTCCATTTTATCAGCTCCACTTACTATATAGGTGCACTTTGTAGTTCTACAGTTACAGACTGTAGTCCATCTGTTTCTCTGATACTTTGTTAGCCCCCTTTTACCCTGTTCTTCAGTGGTCAGGGACCCCCATGGACCCTCACAGAGCAGGTACTATTTGGGTGGTGGGTCATTCTCAGCACTGCAGTAACACTGACGTGGTGGTGTGTTAGTGTGTGTTGCGCTGGTACGAGTGGATCAGACACAGCAGTGCTGCTGGAGCATATTATGCCTGATAAGTGTGTGTGTGTGTGTGTGTGTATATATATATGTACAATTTGGAAAATAGAGATGGCTTCTATTGTTACAATGTCAAGCTTGTAACAATACACTCTTTAAAAGATGGTTCCTCAAGGGTTCTTAGTAAAAAAAAGTGGTTCTATACAGAATCATGAACACTCAAAGAACCTGATTCTTTCTGAACATGATTAAAAGGTTCTTTGCATCGTTAAAGGGTCCTTCAGGTTGATGGAGAATGTGCTGTACATGGTTCTGTATAAAAGCTTTTTGCAAAGGATTCTGTACAGCACCCAAAAAGGTTCTCTATTGTAACAAGCTTGACATCGCTACAATAGAAGAACGCTTTTTAGTGCTATATAGAACCATACAGAACACATTTTCCATCAATCTGAAGAACACTTTAACGATGCAAAGAACCTTTTAATTGTGCAAAGGGTTCTTTGAGTGTTCATGGTTCTATATAGAACCATTTTCTTTACTAAAGAACGCTTAAAGAAAGAAGTATAGTGTAGAAGAACCTTTTTTGGTGCTATATAGAACCCTTCTGAAAAAGGTTCTGTATAGAACCATCTGTACCACACTCTCCATAAATCTAAAGAATCCATTCACAATGCAAAGAGCCCTTTAATCATGCAAAGGGTTCTTTAATTGTTCATGAATCTATACTGATTTTTTCTTTACTAAAGAACCCTTGAAGAACCCTCTTTTTTAGGGTGTACTTGAAGCAATGCTACTGTACCCATGATATACTTAGCAGTGTATTATAACATATCTATTACATATCAGTTCACTGATATAACGCTGACTTACGCTAACAGACAGCACAGGTCCCACTTTGTACATGGCGTAGCGGTCAGTGCCCTCGCAGATGTTCGGGTACTCTGCATCAGGACCAGCCAGGCCCAGCTCTCCGGCAATGTACTTAATGAAGGACTTCATCCTCCACGGACTCCCGCCAACACACACAAACTGTTACAGAACCAGGAAATACAGCTCAGTCATGATGCAACAACCACAGTTTCAACACTACTGAAAACCTGGGGAACAATTAAAGGGCAAATAAAGAACAGAGGAATTCACAGTCAGAATGTTTCACAGTGGTGGTGATAGGAACCAGACGTCCACCTCTAAAAGCTCCCTCACAGAAAGTTCCTACATGAAATGGTTATGAATTCACTGCCTGATGACTGAGACACTGTTTTATGATAGTTTAGAGAACTTAAACTCCATTCATGGTGGAGGGATACATGCAGGGCGCTGTGAGGCAAAATAGTCCCCAAAGAAAACTTATTATTCCAGATTTTCCACTATTTTCCATCATCAACATTCCATACAAACTCAGAAGACTCGTGTAGGTTCACTGGTGGTTCTGGATAGTAAATAAAATGTCTATATCTGTGTTGTAGTCATGGCGACCCCTGGTTCCTATCACCACCACTGTAAAGACATCTGAACCAATTCACACCAAACCACTCTGTTCACATCTCACACACTCATTTATATGTGGGAAATTTTGGAAAATAGGTGGAATTCCCCTTTAAGGCACTTTAGGCATTAAGAGGACAGGAATCAGCACTGTAATTTAATGCAATCTGAATGAAGAAACTACATTTTAATACAAATACGACAAATATACTATAAAACTTACTTTGACGTCTCCAAACTGGGCTGCTAAGTCATGGGAGGACGTGCCCAAGTTGAAATGGTACAGAATGTCTTCTTTCAAGGACTCCAGATGGGGATTGTTGACATATATGGATCGACTAAAGAAAAGAAAGAAAAAGGTTTGAGTTCTATAACTCACTGTTCGCTTGTTTGCCAAAAAGTTTGACTGATGAGTTACAGCTCATTTAAAACGCTGCAGCCGCAGCACAAACAGCAACACACAGGAGAGAGAGTCTATCACCCCGGCTTACAGTCTCTTAGGACAGACATTAAAGCACTACTACTGTTTACAAGGCATTACATGGTTCAGCACCATCACACCTAACGGACTGTCCATCTCTGTCTGTTCCAGATCGTTCTGTAAGGTCGCGTTTCTCAAACACGGGGTCATGGACCACAAGAGAGCCACAAAGCACCCTCTGGTGGTCTTTGGACCAACACTGAGGGGGGCCAGTGGTCTCGGTGGGCCAGTGATGGCACTTTATGTGATAAAAATCAACTTAATAATATAAAAAAAAAATCATGTTTTCAAACTGTAAACAACATTAACAGAAGACCTGTGACAACAGCGTCCTTGGGTTTGTGAAAGGTGCTATATAAATTCAAATTATTATTATTATTATTATTATTATTAAGAACATTTGTCAATTTTTTATCTCCCCTGATGTTTCACTTGTCTACTTGTGAGTGGCTGGTATATAAATCGTGTTAATTCTGCTTGATTTCTGATATAAAACAAGCCTAATATGCTAATATTTAACATTTAGTGTTATATGTTTGCACATTGCAGTGCTGAAAATTTCTGGCTACAACAGCTTTAATGTCAAAGCATTCAAACAGAAAATTATTATTATTACTGTTATTATTACTGCTATTATTATATCACTCCTGACTGGGCCTCACCTCTGTTATAGCTCCTGGGCTATAACAGTATAAACACAAATTGATTATTAATTCATTCATTATTTCATTTTTAAATTTTCACTTTTCATTAATTAATTGGACTCAAATGGACGATCTGATCTTTAAGCTGCTGTTCAGGTCATAATTGTTTAAGTTCTGTGTTTGAGAACTTAGGAAACAAAAGATTTTTAAAGCGAAAATTTGGCATGAGCCGTCCTTCTAGTCATAAACGTGTGAGCCTTGAGGTGGAAAAGGTCGAGAACCCCTGACCCATTTGCATGTTTAAATGGTTGTTTGCATGGTGAAACGGTTCTTCAGATTGATGGATATGGAGAACATGTTGTATTGCTGTGTATGGTTCTATCTAGAACCTTTATGAACGTAGCACCCAAAAATTGTTCTTCTGTTGTTTACAAGCTTGACCGTACACAAAAGCTGAACCCTTTTTGGTGCTATATAGAACCATTTGCATGCTTAAATCGTTCTCTGCATGGTGTAAACCATGTTGTATATGGTTCTATGCAGAGCATTTTCGAAAATGGATCTATATAGAATCAAAAACGGTTCTGCTGTCACAAACTTGACAGAACTGTTTGCATGCTTAAGGGGCTGTTTTTGTGGTGAAATGGTTGTTCAGACTAATGGATATGGAGAACGTGTTGTACTGCTGTGTATGGTTCTATATAGAACCTTTTTGGCAGAAGCTTGACATCTTATGCAATAGCAGAACCCTTTTTGGTGTTATTTAGAACCATTTGCATGTTTAAATGGTTCCTTGCATGGTAAAAAAGGTTCTTCAAATCTGAATCTGAGGGAGAATGCGTTACATATAGCACCACCAAAACGGGTTCTTCTGTTGTTACAAGCTCATCATGACAACAGCAGAACCCTTTTTGGTGCTATATCGAACGATACACATCACATTCTCGCCATGCAAAGAACCGTTTAAGCATGCAAATGGTTCTATACTGAACTCATAGTTCTAAACAGAACCACTGCCGTTACTGAAAACCCTTCTTTTTATGTTCCGTTGATCTTATTGTCCCTTTTTTAACTTATTTTTGTCGTTTAATTCTCTGAAACACTCTGAGCTGCATTTACTCCATACAAATATTATTATCATTCTATTATTAAAACTAAAGAAAATAAAACGACATTTCTGTCATCATCTCGTGAAATTTCACACTTAGCTGAAGCCCCATTTTCTATTTCCAGCCACATCCAACAAAGACAAAAGGGGGATGACCTGCAGTGACCTCAGGTCAGGAATAGTCTTTTTTTCTCCTTTTTTAGTTCTTCTCTACAGGCTCGTCTATTTAAAATGTTCCAATAGTAGGGAAAAAGTGTGTTGGTGTTTTTGCTTTGCCTACCTTTCACAGTTTTCTCCATTTTTCTCATCACAACCAGAAGGCATTTTCCTTCTCGTCCTGTCAGAAGATCCTGCGAGGTGATAATGAGGAGATAAATGAGCCATAAACAACCATAAACACTCATTATGCCATTACTTTGCATGTTTTCCCTCTTAATAATTCACAGGAAGAAGTTTAAGGTGAGTGTTTTTCGAATTTCCCGTTCCTCCTTAAATGGTGCTGCAGTTACATTCTGAGCCTGAGGCGCCAGAACGTAACCGCAGCACCATTTAAGGTGGAACGTGGAATTCGAAAAAGAAGTTGGCAAATAAGCAGCCAACTTCAGCCTCGTTATGCGGAATAAATTAGAGTATAAAACAGCACCTTTGACCTCTTTACCTGAATCGAAATGTCTCGGTTTGACTCCTCTAATGTCCACAGCTGACGCTCCGTGTCTCCTCTGCTGCTCCCACAGCCTCCAACATCCGGCAGCTGCGGGTCTACGTGCTGCTGTGCTGCACGCATGAGGAAGAGAACGAACCGATTCATTTGAATCACTTACTCTTCCGTTTTTTAAAAGGGAAACTCCACCGATTTCTCAAAATGCGCTGCAGAAGTTCAAGGTTAAGATGTAAACAGAGTCGTTCAGAGCGGTTTGGTTTCTAGAGAAACTTACCGAGTCAGAACTGTTCACAGTGGTGGTGATAGGAACCAGACGTCCACCTCTAAAAGCTCCTCACAGAAAGTTACTACATGAAATGGTTATGAATTTTTTGTGCTTATGTTTTGGCTTGAAACGTATTTTAAACCATTTATTTTAATCCATTCTTGGTGGAGGGATACATGCAGGGTGTTGTGAGGCAAAAATAGTCCCCAAAGAAAACTTATTATTTCAGATTTTCCACTATTTTCCATCATCAACATTCCATATAAACTCAGAAGACTCGTGTAGGTTCACTGGTGGTTCTGGACAGTAAATAAAATGTCTATATCTGTGTTGTAGTCATGGCGACCCCTGGTTCCTATCACCACCACTGTAAAGACATCTGAACCAATTCACACCAAACCACTCTGAATCACTCTGTGTACACCTCACACACTGAATTATGTTGGAAAATCGGTGGAATTCCCCTTTGGCGAACCGGTCGCACCGACTCACGTCTTGCTGAACCGATTTAATCCGTTTAATAATATTTCCTAATAAATATTTCAGTCAGATTAGTGGACAATCGATTCAGTGAATCATTGTATACAGAGGAAATGAGACTACAGATGAATCACTCGCTGAGTCAGTTGGGGAGGAGACGAGAATGACGGCCGACTTCGGTGACTGCTGACGTCATCAGACTCTGAATCAGTCACTGAATGCAATATCAGTAAATGAGAGAAAACCCAAATGAATCACTCGGACACTGAATGAGACACTCGGAAGGAATCGGTTCGGTGAACTCAATCGAAACGAATCATAAGGAAAGGGAAGTGCGCATGCGCACAAAGTGACCGGCTGATGAACGTTCACAGCGTGGGATGTTACCATAGCAACTACGCGACTCAAATCAAGGTTGAAAGTAAACAGGAGAAAGTTAATTGCTTAACCGCATAAATACATAAGCAAAGAGAACAAGCCCACCCAGTTAGGGGAACTCCACCGAAACTTTCCAAATGTTTGCACAATTAAAGCTTTGAGGTGTAAAGGTCATTCAGAGTGGTTTGATGTGTAATTGGGCATTAATATGACCAGGGACATTGCACGATTTAAAAAAAAAAAAGAGTTTGATCTCATGTTGACTTTAAAGAGCCCATATCATGAAAAACGAGAGTTAAGAGTTTAATTCAGTATGTGAAATTCACTCCACACAGACTGTGCGAAAAAAGCCTGTTTTGAATTGAGTGTTTTTGTGATGTCATAAACCAAAAATTACATATATCCACCTTCTAAGCCTACAGCAAGTCAACGGAACCAGACTTTTTTTTAGTAAGTAATGTTGGGTCGTTTATTTTGGTCCATTCATCATGAAATTTACCAACAATGTAGAGGCCAACAGGCATTTTCAAATACAAGAAACAAAAAACAGACGTGCGAGGTTTTGTTCCGACAGCAGCGATATATTAATCAGCCAGTGTAACTCTAAGGCCCATGTGTCAAACACAAGGCCCGCGGGCCAGATCAGGCACACGACACAATTCTAATCCGACCCGCAAAAGTATTTTCATTTTTTAATGAACTTGCAGTAAAGAAATGATGCCAGGTGTCTGGTTCAAGCAGATAGGTACACTATATTGCCAAAAGTATTCGCTCGTCTGCCTTCACACACATATGAACTTGAGTGACATCCCATTCTTAATCCATAGGGTTTAATAATTGCAGCTATAACAGCTTCAACTCTTCTGGGAAGGCTTTCCACAAGGTTTAGGAGTGTTTATGGGAATTTTTGACCATTCTTCTAGAAGCAGACACTGATGTTGGACGAGAAGGCCTGGCTCGCAGTCTCCGCTCTGGTTCATCCCAAAGGTGTTCTGTCGGGTTGAGGTCAGGACTCTGTGCAGGCCAGTCAAGCTCTTCCACACCAAACTCGCTCATCCATGTCTTTATGGAGCTGCTTTGTGCACTGGTGCGCAGTCATGTTGGAACAGGAAGGGGCCAAACTCCCCAAACTGTTCCCACAAAGTTGGGAGCATGAAATTGTCCAAAATCTCTTGGTGCTGAAGCATTAAGAGTTCCTTTCACTGGAACTAAGGGGCCGAGCCCAACTCCTGAAAACAACCCCACCCCATAATCCCCCCTCCACCAAACTTTACACTCGGCACAATGCAGTCAGACAAGTACCGTCTCCTGGCAACTGCCAAACCCAGACTCGTCCATTGGATTGCCAGGCGGAGAAGCGTAATTGGTCACTCCAGAGAACACGTCTCCACTGCTCTAGAGTCCAGTGGCGGCGCTTTACACCACTGCATTCGACGTTTTGCATTGCGCTTGGTGATGTAAGGCTTGGATGCAGCTGCTCGGCCATGGAAACCCAGTCCATGAAGCTCTCTACGCTGTTCTTGAGCTGATCTGAAGGCCACATGAAGTTTGGAGGTCTGTAGTGATTGGCTCTGCAGAAAGTTGGTGACCTCTGCGCACTATGCGCCTCAGCATCCGCTGACCCCGCTCTGACATTTTACGTGGCCAACCACTTCGTGGCTGAGTTGCTGTCGTTCCCAATCGCTTCCACTTTGTTATAATACCACTGACAGCTGACTGTGGAATATTTAGTAGTGAGGAAATTTCACCACTGGACTTGTTGCACAGGTGGCATCCTATCACGGTACCACGCTGGAGTTCACTGAGCTCCTGAGAGCCCCGTTCTTTCACTAATGTTTGAGGAAGCAGTCTGCAGGCCTAGGTGCTTGGTCTTATACACCTGTGGCCATGGAAGTGATAGGAACACCTGAATTCAATGATTTGGATGGGTGAGTGAACACTTTTGGCAGTATAGTGGAGGTTTAAAAGACTGAGCTCCTGCTGACATTTAAATTTTGAATATTTAAAATATTCATGTAATATTTCAAATGCCTATTTTTTACTGTTGAAGTTTGTGTATTTTGAATACACAAACATTTTTAAATTGGTCAGTTCAGTTTATAACAAAATGTTAATAAAGACTCATTCTCTGCCCCAGGGATTTGTTGAGATTTTTTAACTTGGCCCTTCCAGTGGTTGACTTTGACACCCCTGCTCTGGGTCGGAACATGAACATGTAGAAATGATGATCACTTTTGGCACATAAAACATCACTTCTGTTATGAATGGAGTTTGAGGGGAAAATATAAAGAGATTAATGTAGGATACGGGCCCTTTAAGACATCTGTGAACATGTTCAGTCATTAAAATCAGATGTCAGTTATCGATTACACTGCAGTCGATATACAAAAACAATGAACTAACTTAATTAGTAAGACATCGATTAGCAATTACAGCATAAAAAGGAGCATCAGGAGGTTTTAAGCGCTGAATCCAAACAAGGAAACTGAACAATAAAATGACCGGATGCACTGAAACAGGCATTACAATAAAGACCAAGCCCAGCGCTTGGTCAGCGGAGTGACCGTAAACCATTTCCACACCGGCTATTACTTCATTTCATCAATCTGGAAGGAGGAATCATTTCACAAACCTGTTTGCATAAGAAGATGTCTTTGTATTTGGTTTTGAAAACAGTCAGGAGGAGATACTGCACCACACTCAGCTGTACCAAATAAAACAATACAAACAGAGCTCTTATAAATACTCACCTTAAATAAACTTCAAACAATAAACAACATATTGCACATGGACTTTGGCAACTGAGTGGCCACATTTTCAAAAGTCAGAGCCCAAAACTTTTGGTCATATTAACAAACATTAAGGCCATTTTTATTACATTTGTTTATAATAATATTGCTTAAGCAAAAACGAAGCGTCAGTCTGTCAGTCCTGCCTTCAGGTTCTTTAGGCTGTTAAAGGAGCAGCTCAAACTACAAGGGACAAAATTAGTGAACAAACTAAGTTGGCTTGACAAAAACCTGGGTGTGGTATCCCAGGTGGTTGCTAAGGTGTTGTTGGTCATTGCTATGGTACCCCAGGTGGTTGCTAAGGTGTTGTTGGTCATTGCTATGGTATCGCAGGTGGTTGCTAAGGTGTTGCTGGGTCCTTGCTACGGCATCCCAGGTGGTCGCTAAGGCGTTGCTTGGTCATTGCTAATGGATCCATGGTGGTTGCTAAGCTGTTGAATTCCAGATTGCTAAGGTGTTGCTAGACCATTGCTATGGTATCCCAGGTGGTTGCTAAAATGTTGCTAAAATGTTGCTAAGGCACTGCTAGGATATTCCAAATGATTGCCAAGCTGTTGCATTCCAGGTGGTTGCTAAGGTGTTGCTAGCCCATTGCTAGGGTATCCCAGGTAGTCACTGGTGTGCTCCTAGGCCGTTGTTAGCGCATCCCAGGTAGTCAATAACGTGTTACTAGGCCATTGCTAGGGTATCTTAGCTGGTTGTTAAGGTGTTGCTTAGCCACTGCTAAGATATCTCAGGTAGTCATTAACGCGTTGCTAGGCCATTGCTAGTGTATCACAAGTAGTCGATAACATGTTGCTAGACCATTGCCATGGTATCTCAGCTGGTTGCTAAGGTGTTGCTAGGCCACTACTAGGACATCTCAGGTAGTTGATAACATGTTGCTAGGCCACTGCTAGTCTCCCAGGTGGTTGCTAAAGTGTTGGTAGGCCGTTGCTATCCCAGGTAGTCGTTAACATGTTGCTAGCCCATTGCTAGTGTATCCCAGGTGGTTGCTAAGGTGTTGCTTGGTCGTTACTAATGCATTCCAGGTGGTTGCTAAGCTGTAGCTTGGCCCTTGCTAGTGTATCTCAGGTGGTTGCTAAGCTGTAGCTTGGCACTTGCTAGTGTATCTCAGGTGGTTGCTAAGGTGTTGCTTGGTCATTGCTCTGGTATCCCAGGGGGTTGTGAATACACGTGTGCGCATGTGTAGGTATTTATGTGGCTTTGTCAAGCCAACTTAGAAATCAAATTCCCCCAGTTTCCCCTTCTTAAGCACGTTTTGTGTCTGAAGTTTTCTTTTTCAGTCTTAGCACTGGCTCTACATGGGTGACATGTATGACCACTATTTGCTAGCTACATTAGCCTCGTAGCTCTACTGCTAAAATTAAAAAAAGCAAACTTCAGACACCAAACATGTCTTGGCTGATCAACTACATTTGGGGTAAAATTTGATTTTTCAGTGAACTAATTCTTTAACCTCAACAGAAATATCAGCTGATGATAAGCAATGCATAGTGTATCCTTTTCTAGTACAAAGAGCACAACGTTCAGGTACGTTAAATCCTCAACTCAAAACTCTCACTATTCCACTCCAACACAAGAAATAAAAACAAAACAAAAAATAAAACACCCTCGTGCAGGTTAGTAGCTTATAAGACAGTTAGTGAAAACCGTAAGGAATACACAGGAAGCTGCAGGATGTGGTCAAAAGGCGAAATGTCAAGTGAGGACAAAAAACCGAACTATTACTTCTACATCTTCTGAGCCAAAGAGTCTGACT